GGTGTTATTAGTTTATTTTGTTTAAGATTCTCTGGTATTTGTCTTCAGTCTAATGTGTTAAAAAATATTTTAGGCAGTCTGTTAAATGAGAAAGGGAAAAACCTACCTTACAGTATAAGGTCTTATTTGATCACCTATATACTTATTTTATTTCTTGACACTTGCAATAGAGCTATAAAATGTATAAATTTTTTTGAAATTGTTTGCAACAGGATTTGAGATTAAAATATAAACAGAGATGTAGAACCGGACCATCCTTCTAATGTTTAGTCATATAGGGTACTACAGTGTTACGTCACGATACCATTTGATACTACTACATTGCTATCGTTGCAAAATGCGTTTAACCAAACGCCATTTTCTCCACTGACAAACCACTGATCCCAATTTCTAACGTAATATTAAGATGTTGTATCTTAATTTTTCATTGTAAATTTTAATTGATGATTAAATGTGTGTTCGATAACTAATATAATGCAAGCTTTTGTGTTTTTAGTACACTTTGATGGTAAAATATTAGATTTTAAAATGCCTATTTCAGAAAACCTATGAAGTAATTTAGGCATAATGAACGGTAACCAACGTCTGTTGACAACAGAAGGCGCCACCTGGCATCGTGACGACACGACTGTGGTACTCTATAGACTAATGGGGGAAGGGGGAGGAGGCTTAGCTAATACTATAATAAATTAGAAGGTAATTTTTATCACTTGTTTCAACAAGAACCTTTTATAAATTATAATTATAAGGAGCTCTTTGCCATGACCCACTATATTATTTACTTACAAGATCTCTGTATTAAAAATCGCATTAATTAAATGTATCCTAGAAAGAAGTATTGAATTGTGTTTGTTTTTTTTAATACAGTTTTGATCATCATACCAGCCACTTTATCATCACTATGCCTCAATGGACTGTTCCAAACTGTCAATCAAATTTTAACTGACCAATCAGAGCAAACACACAAGTTTATGTACTGCATGTTTACACTTTTGAGGTTCTACACCTTAACAACAAATATCCAAGGGTTGAGACTTAGCAGAAAGGACTGCTGTAGACACACCCGTTGTCGCATCATTTACCATTATTACCATAGCAATCTTCATCTTTCATACCCGCCCTAAAAATCATTATTCCCATCACCTTAACAATGTGCAAACATCAACTATTAAATTCTTTACCAACAACTCATGATGGTTAACAGCTATTCCAAAACAAGTTTTATGATCATAAATCATCAATCCATGCTGTAGTCATTGTCATACATCTTGCAATTGATTGAAAGGTATAGGTAGTCAAACATTTTACAGGTCAGGAGTTACCAATCCCTCTTTCTTAAGCGTTCATTTTCATTTCATATTCGTCACATAAAACAGTTACCAAGAGACAAAAAACAGCCGAGACAGGATTCCCAACAGCAAAATGAATAAAACAGTGAACTATAAAAAGGGTTTCAACACAAAAAAACAACATAAAATACAAAACATGCCAATTACAGAAGAGCAGTATACAAAAAGGGGCACAATAATATAGGTTAAAAGTTTCCCCACGAGTAAAATATACGAGTGGTACTGTGTAAAGACAACTTGATTTCTTGCTTTGAGCAGTGGCGTAGAAAAATATTTTTCATTGGGAGGGATGATTGGCGTGTTAGCCAGTGTCGTAACAGGCGCGGGGGTGGGGCAGGGGGAAAACTGCCCCTCCCCTGACGGTTTTTACTGGGCCGACCAAGTCGTCGTACCGGGCTGGGTAATAAGAGAAAAGAAAGAGGGGAGAGAGAGGGAAAGAGAAAGAAGAGGAAAAGAAAAGGAAAGAAAAAAGAAGAGAAAAATAAAGACAAGAATAAAAAGGAAGCTATCGTAATGACCAGACTCACAACACCCATGCAACCCCTTCTCCAATTCAAAAACTGTCATAACTCCTTTGATCTATGCTGCCCGATGGCGTAACCACTGGCGCGCATTTTTTAGGGCATTTTTTAGTTTTATCCTTTTAAGTTATTTAAACACATAATAGTCCAAAACTCAAGAAAGACAAGTTTAAGATAGATCATTTTAACCTAAAAGAAGGGCCTCAATGTGCATAGATGGTGAAAGAATGTGTTTGTAATAAATACAACCATGATGAAAATGCTTATATTTAGTTTCAAACACACGTGTGTGGTCTACATTATAAATAAGATAAGCCCTATGTCGTATTGTTTTCTATATGGGGAGTGGGGTGGGGTGGGGTGGGTATGCTAAATTACTAACCGGGAAATGAGGATTGTATGTTGTTATTATGATTATGATTATTATTATTGTTATTGTTATTATTATTATTATTATTATTATTATTATTATTATTATTATTATTGTTATTATTACTGATGTCGTACACACCCTTCAGTGTGAAATGTGGCTCTCTTTGCAAGCACATCTAACATCTAAGGAAAGTAGAGCTTAGATTGGTACCAGATAAAATAATTTTAATACATTATGCTAATTTTCATCTTTGTAAGCGCATAAGACAGTGCAAATGTGTATTATTATTATTATTATTATTATTATTAAATTATTTCTGTGACAGTCTTTTGAAGTGTGTAAAGATCCATTTTATCCTATACAAAGTCAAAATATTGGGGGGGATGATTCAATGGACCATCCCCCCCTTGTCAAATATTGGGGGGGGGGATATATCCCCTCCATCCCCCCCGGGATCTACGCCTATGCAAACCAGCCAAGCATGACTGTTTTTGAAATACATTTCACAACAACACAAGACATGCGAAATGTAAATCAAAACTAGTCAGCCAAGCTTGACGTGGGCATGTTCCATTAATAATGGGGGAATCATTTTTCGCTGCAGTCCAATGCGTTAACGCTTCCCAGTGGGTCTGCTAATTTTTAATGGTCAGGATACCGCGAAAACAAGCCCTATGCTTGGCATTATAGGCTAGGCTTATGTGGGATAGGATTTGCAACAAGGTCTCGGACTAAGCCTCTATACTATAGTAGGAGGCCTGGTCCTAGTCTAGGCCTATAATATATAGTAAAATTCTGTATAAGTAGTCATATGATTACAGGTTTACATTGTACCAAGGTCAATATTAACGATCGCATTTATTTTTCATTGAAAATTTAAAAAAAAAACTTTAAAAAAGTATATAATATAAACTATAATACCGTAGTTTCATTCAATGGGGCCCCGACAGTTTTAAACAATAAAAGCTGGGCTCTGATGTTTGAAATCATTCTTCTGATTTTGTGATCAATCTGCTTTGCATTGTATATAGGCCGTACGTTATTTAAACATGTTTAGTTCTCACTAAAATTGGCCTATTCTATTCTCTGTATTTATTTACAACTAGAGTACATAGGACCTAGTGAATGACTATACCAGTCCGAAAAGTCATGTACCACTCTATGTTCTCTAACAACGGAGTTAACAGTTAATTTTTCAATATCCAGCAAATTTAAATAGCATCCAAAATCCTCCTTTTTGGAATGTAAGGAAATAGATAGTACTTTATATTTGTTGGATCGATTGCAACCCCAAAACGAATGGCACTTCAGAATACAGTACAGTATACCAAAAGTTCTCTCAAATTTTATATCCTATCGCGTTGTTTGTGTTATAAGTTAACTTCATTTATTTATATTTTATTTTCTTTTAAGCATACAGGTTTGGAATATTTTTAAATCCTTAAGTTAAATTATCTACCTTACTTTTTATTTTCAATGAAAAATAAATGCGATCGTTAATATCGATCTTGGTACAATGTAAACGTGTAATCACATGACTTATACAGAATTTTACTATATTATAGGCCTAGACTAGGACCAGGCCTCCTACTATAGTATAGAGGCCTAGTCCAAGACCTTGTTGCAAATCCCAGCCCACATGAGCCTAACCTATAATGCCAAGCATAGGGCTCGTGATCGCGGTACCCTGACCATTAAAATTAGCAGACGCACTGGGAAGCGTTGTTCACGGCATTGGACGGCAGCGAAAAATGATTCCCCCATCATTAATGGGACAGGCCCACGTCATGCTTGGCTGATTAGTTTTGATTTACATTTCGCAAGTCTACTGCCATACGCAGCAAAAGTCCGTTTCTAGCGTTGTTGTCAAATACATTTCAAACCAGGCTGGTTTTTGATTTACGTTTTGGAATAGAATTTGGAGAGGGCGTTTGATCAAGTCAGACCTACGTTTTGAATTTGAATTACATTTTAAAGAAATTAGAACTACATTCATTTTGAAAAATTTGAACTACGTTTTGAAAAATTAGAACTTCATTTTGGGAAACCAGATCTACATTTTGAGAAATTTACGCCTACGTTTTGATAAATTAGACATTGAATTTTGCAATTACAACTTGAAAGTTTTTTTAGTCTTGTTTATTTCAATATTGGCTTTCAGATTTAAACTATATCGACATTTTGCTCTTCAATAAATGTGTCTATGTCTTCCAATAACCTATACATATTTCTGGTAGCAGTACTTCAAACGTAGGGCCTATATAGGGGGCCTATATATATATTTTTTCATGGTATTTAAAATTTATTTCGTGGGTGATAAGAATTTCTTATGAATGTAGTAGTGGTATCAGTTGATTGGTTGAGAAAAGAATCAAGTTGGCATGGTTCTTCTGATCTCCGTTATAGCTCGCGGGTATAAAACGACGGACGTGATTTATTGACTTTAACACTCGAATACCATATTCTATCATTTTATTATGAAATTCCGGTGATAAATTTAAAATAAAAATAAAAATAACAACAATAGGCGTCCGAATACCCAAAATATTTCCTGATTGCATTACCTTAATTTAATTTTTGATCTTTGTTTTACAAGCTAACTTATCTGATATTTTGCTTTTAATGTTTAGTAGCGTGTTCCTGTGCAGAAGGATGGGAATCGTTTGCCAGCAGTTGTTATAAGTTTGTTCACAGAATTAAAGACAATTGGGAAGGCGCCAGGACTGCATGTCTTAGTATGAAGTCGAACCTTGTCGTTGTGGGAAATCAAGAAGAGAACGAATTCCTGATCAAACTATTTCCTAATAATTTCTGGCTAGGCCTAACCGATATGAAGACGGAAACCCACTTTATATGGGTTGATAGTGGTGAATGCAGCAATTTTTCACGTAAGCATATTTAATCATTTGAAATACTGTACTTTTCTCTTAAAATCTTGAAAATTCTTTAAATAGGTCTATCAAAGCCTAATTAACATTTCAATACTTAGATACGAAACAATTTAATAATACTATTAAACATTTATCGCAACCATACAACGAATATTACTTCGGTAGTCTTTGTCAACGTTTGACATGAAATGAACATTCTGAGATAGATAGAGGTAATAGTATGCATCCAATTTGAAAAATGATTAATTAGTTTTTATATCTGAGCTATCTCAGAATGTTAATTTTATGTAAAGAGTTGAAAATGTCTACTGGAGTAGTTGAAATATTCTTTGCAATCAATTTTAGTGTTTCTAAAGTCAAAACTGTACATATCAGTAGGTATTCATTACCGTTGCACATTGGATTTAGGATTGGATTTATTCGGTGTAAACACCAAGGATAGCCCACTAAAGTCTAGAAGAAGACTTATTTCCAGTGGGGTCCTTCTAGTGGTAATAAGGCAGTCACCAGGAAACAATCCTCTAGTCTTTTCCGAAGAGTGTACTGCGTTCTTTAACGTGCACATGGGCCATAAATCCACACGGGACCTATGGCTTAAACGTCTTATCCGAAAGACTGCGCTATTGTAACATGTATTTCAGCCCTCCAGCTGAAACACAAAGAGAGGCAGCGATGGGAATTGAACCAGAGACCTAGATATCTCCATAGTTCAGCGCACACACAGTATCTACCACCGGATTAGCCGACTGAGCTAAGCTGCTCGGG